TTTAATTTGCAAAACCACAACGACCGCAATCACAACTAAGAAATAAGATTTGCAGATGTGGATTTAGTGACGTAGAGGAGAACTGCGAAAACTACTCTTGAAAAATAGGAATTAGAACCACAATTAGGAAAACTGTCTGCAACAGCCTTATTGGAATGGAACATTTAAGATCAAAAAGTCAAGAAATCCAACTAAGACGTCCCATATTGGAGTCACGAATGTCTATGATCAAGAATACTCCTGATCATAGTTGAGGTCATCAGCTAACGAATTTCAAGGATGGGATAAAAGATAAGATTAGATCAAATTTAAAAATCCAAAAAAGGAAAATCTCACTCAGACAGCTGATCAAGAACTTGTTAACCAAATTAACAATTGCATCAGGTTCTGGGACATAAGAAAAAACCGCGAAGATAAGGTTCACTTTAACAAATCAAATGGGAACATCATTTAGGTGATATATCCAGGAGAATGCGATTTAGCAAATGGAAATCAAATTCTGAGAATCAGAATTAGGGACCAGACTCAAGTCAAAACTGAAAGAAAAACTAGGAAAAACATCTTAGATGAACAAAGGTCTAACTGGAGAAGAGTACCCCAAGTCCCCACACTTCGTTATCCACCCCTCCCCCCTCCAAACCTCACCTCCTCCTTCATCGACTTTGCGAGCAAAGACTGGCCACCTTGTAGTCGACACTCACTCGACCATCCTCAAAGGCCACTCGATGAAGATAAACGGATCGTGGCAAACCACGTTGCGAGCCCAAACCGCTGAACCTGCCAGCCGCCCCTCGCAGGTTAGTCCGAAGAGATGGAGGGATGTCGTCGTCCAAAGCACCACCACCCTCGCTATGCTTGCGGTACTCTTCCCACCCAACTGCGCCCACGGAGCCCTATCACGGGGGAGACACACACCTCACCGCAGCCCACACCCCACCCCCCTTTCCACCATCGCGCTAATCAAACTCACCGTACCATTTCTCTCGTCGACACGCCCCCAACAGACCAGGCCATCGCCATCAACCCCACCCTCTTCCTCTTCCCTCGCACCGCTCGATCCTACTCCCCCTCGCCCATACATACATCACATCTTGTTAGGGTTTTCAGGATTGTTGTCAGAAGATGAGAAACCCTATCCATCTGATCTCTGTATATATACAACAATCCTGAAAACCCTAACAAGATGTGATGTATGTATGGACGTGCATACATTGGTAGATGGAACTGTCAATTCATCTCTGCACAGGGATCCAGCAGATACATTTTCATCATTGTACAGGGACACTGGACCCGATTTCCAGCAGGTGTAGCTCCCCACCAATAGATGGAGCCTTCGGCGCCGGGACCTACTTACCGGGGAKGCTCTTATCACCTCGTTAAGTAGGTTTCCCGTATACGAAGTTTCTTTTCAAAAAAAAAAAAAAAAAAAGGAGCCAGACTTCTTTGCACTCTGTGACTGGTCCCCGCGACTGGGACCCCTGGACCATCCCTGTCTTCCCCCCAGTTGTATTTGCATTCTTTCTTTGGGGGAGAGATACAAGCTCCTTCCCAAGGTAAGTTTTCCCATTACACAGGGTGGCTCTAATCTATTGGTGGGGAGCTACGCCTGGCAATTGGACCCAGTGCATAAGTACATGGCCACCATCCACCCGATACCTCTGCCATCAACTGTGTGCACTCGGGTCTATTTGTCATGGGAATAAGACAATCCCCCACTGTGGTACACCCCTTCAACCATCCCACTTGCGACCCCTGCCCCCTGAAAGCGAGGCCCTAAGGTAACCAACTACGTGATCATCCACTCCACTAGGCCTATCCACCCCTCAATCCCAGATCTCTCAGCCCAACCTGAGATCTACGTCACCTGACCCCACCCCTGGGATTCCCTTTTTTTTTTTTTTTTTTTTTTTTTTTTTTTTTGAAGGGAAGGCCAGGTTGTTGTAGAGGTGGAATAGCAGACAGATGGCAGTCACCAACAGTAATCCTTTTTTTTATTTTTTTTTAATCCTATCCCCTTAAGCAGCATTGACCGCTGGGGGGAGGTCCATGATGCGCTGTGCGCCGGATTCGGGTCGAAGTGTTGGTGAGGGGCGGCGGATGAAGGCGATCGAGGGCGGGGGAGTGTGCAGAGGGGTGTGCGTACTGAAATGTTCACAGCGCGCCATTAAACGAGAGCACGCGTCCCGGGGGCGGGGCACACGGATGGCGTTGATGAGGACAAACATCTTGGAGGCGAGCCATGCGATATGCGGGCGGCTTCTTTTTTTTGTTTTCCCCATTTGGCCATCGTTTTGTGTCCCCCTTCTCCTTTTTTCATTTCTCGCACCTGTCGTTTTGTGTCCCCCCTTTTTTTCGCTTATTTTCTTTTCCTTCCTTCTTTTTTCATTTCTCGCGCGGCTATCACGTTGTGCCCCCCCAGTAGCCTGCGTTGTTTCTGCGGACGAACATCTTGGAGGCGAAAAAAAAAACACAAAAAAAGAACATCTTGGGGGCGAGCCATCCGAAATGCAGTGTGAGGTCACCCACTGCATTTGTTATTTCTGCGGGAGTAGCCGGCACCGCGCACACCGCGGGCACTTAGCTAGTTTATTATTAAAGCCCAGGTTGTTGTAGAGGTGGGATACTAGACAGATGGAAGTCACCCACAGTACTCGGCCACTCGGTTGTCGAGATGAACCCGTCTGAAGACCC